CCAGCGAGGCGCCGTGCAGGTGTTCTCACTGCCTCTACACTTCTTAATCCCCTGCGCACCACCGAACAGCCAGGGCCGGGGCACAAACAGCGGCTGCAGCGCAGATGGAAAACGGTCGGCAAAGGTCATAGAAAATTTTATTGTGGACAGAGCCGATTATGGGGCTCCACACAACAAAGATGGAGACTATCGCGGCGAGAGGACGACGCATGAAGGAATGGGTTTGATTCAATGGCTGCTGTCTGAGAGAATTCCCCACCCTTTCCGGGCCAATGGGGGCATTCGGCCTTCTCATCCTGCCACACCCAGAGGCTGTGCAAGGAGAATTGCACCTAGCTGAGAGATACAGACAACGGTAGACGTGAGAGCTAAACGGACATCAGTGGACTGATGGCTCTACCCCTGCTATCAGGTGGAGTTGTCACTGTTGACCTCCAGGCACTGTTCACACACTCACGTGTGGGGCCCACCATACTCAAAGACCCTGGTTACTACTGGGCAGCTCAAGAAGAAAGTTGCCTTCTGGACCGAAGTCGTAGGAGTCACCTGCTGGGGCTTTAAGCATGCTCGTTTCAGTGGCTGGCACCTATGGCTCATCCATCCCTGAGGGACCAAGCCGTCCTAATTCACCTGCTTTGCAAGATAAGCCACACTCAGAGATGGTGAGAAAGCAACCCTCAGCCACCGGGGCTCAGCGCAGCTCTGTCACACACAGACCATCTAACAACAGTAACGGAGAGCAACGTTCCAGGAGGACAAGATGTTGGTGGAGTCAGTGCAAGTTCCAGCTGGAGAGAAATGTCCCTTGGCCTAGAGGAAGCAGTTTCCCAGTGCCTCATGGTGTGTAAGCAGAATTCTCTGGCTTGCCACTGTGGTACCTCTCGCCTCCGAGCGGGGAGGGGGCTGCAGTAAATGTCTCACTGCAGTCTGGTGGTGACCACAGTTTGGGTGTGGGCTCCCCAGCACACTGGGAAACACCTGAAGTCCCAATATTACTGTCTATGCCCCCAGGGAACCCGCTGCTCCCCTAGGGTCACGGGGAGAAAGCGGAGTTGCTACCATCACACCCACATCTTTGGGCACAAACTTATTTGTCGAGCGAGTAACCTTCCTTCCCTTCCCTCGAAGGCAAAACCCCGGAAAGAAAGCTTTAGTGGGCGCGTGCCTACGCGGCTCTTGTGTCTGTCCTCGTGTCCCACAAGTGTGGGTCCTGTTCGTCCACATGCTGTTTGCTGGTGCACTTCTTGTGATGGGCCTTGGATGCTGGGTCACCAGGCTGGACTGGAGGTTCACCACTACTCTGGCTCACAAACACAGCTGGCACCTTACAGGTCAGTTCCAGCTCTTGCTCCTCATCACTGGCTCTCGGGCAGCTTTTCCTTTCCTCCCGGTGCCCAGGATATAGATTCTCCTCCCCATCACTTCTGGCCTGGGCTGTGGACAAGGGATGATGGTGAAAGCAGTTAAGGCCTTGGGTGGAAGCTCCCGCAGGGGCAGCGCTTCCCAGACGGCTCTGGGCCACAGGGATCTCATCCATGGATTCTGCAGACTCTGAGTGGTATTCAACAGGTGGCCCAGCTGCCTGGACATGGCCAGTGCCGCTTGCAGACATCGTGGCTCTGTGAGGAAAAGCTGGCAGAGGGAGTTGAAGGCTGTGGGAGGATGAGGAGATGGCAGCCATGGCTGAAAATTCGGAAGCTGGAAAGAAAGGAAAATTGCATCAGAAGAGACTGGGGTTTCCCTTATTCCCAGACAGTTGTTCCCAGGCCCAGGAGAACGGAGGTAAAAAGGGGCTGAGTGGCCCATACGCACTCGTGCACAACCTGGTGCAAACAGGCCCACAGCTCTCAGTAATACACCGAGCGCGCCCACCCTCCTATTACACAAGGTCCGGGGCAAGGGACGGTGGGGTCTCTTGTCCTTGCTGCTGTTCTCTGTTTGGAGGGATCTCCTCTGCATGTCCTTGTGAGGGCAGCCCTGGGGAGAGGCCCAGGCAACGCTGCTCTAACGCGATCGCCTGAACCATCGTCGGCGTGAAAAGCGGTTTGTCCCTCCCGAAGCTCAGCACACCTTCAGCTTTCGCGCTTCGCTGCATCCTCCGCTTCCTCCCCGCCCCGGCACATGCTTCCTGCCACTCAGTCCTGCTTCCCCTCTGTGCACATGCCACTCGGCCATCTCATTCCCTTTCCCCATAGCATTCCTTTCTCCTCTGCTCCAAAGGGATCGGGCTGCCTCTTCCGAGTAGTTCCCAGCTCCTCCCGCTTTGCTGCCACTAATGAGCCTCGACACCTGAGGAAGGTGTTACAACCAAGTGCAAACTGGCGGCACGTGACACGCCAGCTCTCCACAGAGCTCGATTTGGAACTAGCTTCCCTAGGATATTTGGTAATTCCCCATCTTCTCCGCCCGGCCCCCGCCAGGGATTTGTCTTCTTCACTTTGGCTTTCCTTTCCCGTTTTTCTAACGTTTCCCTGATCATTCCCTAATTCTCCTGGTTGTGGGGCTCCAACAAGGAGCTCTCAGAGGTTCTGGTGCTGGGGAGGGGCTCTCTAGGACACACTGACTGCCCCGTAAAGGCAGCTGGAAGAGAGGGGCCTACTGAAGCCCACTCACCTGGTTGGGGAACTGGGAGAGGGCGCCTGGGCTGGCTGTTTGTCTTGGATCTATCCTCCACGACTGAGGATAGAACCTTACGCACCTTTTTCTTCTTCCTCTTCCTCTGCTGCTGTGAACACAAGAAGCTCAGATGAAGGGAGACCAGCTCATTCGCTCAAAGATGCGGCTCTGACAGCTTTTATAACTACCATCTCTGCTTGACTTCCTTCGGTTTTCAAATCAGTTTTATAAAGGGTTTCTCTTTAGAGTGTAGGGCTGTCCCAGTGTGGAGTGCTGGGAGACAACAGGGCATACTATGAGAGGCAGGAATTGTAGCATCTGGACTGCACAGATGGTGAAGAATTTGTCTGGCAGTTATTTAGGACAGATGGTGAAGAATTTGTCTGGCAGTATGTGGGGGAAGGGAGGTCCCCGTGCGGATATGGCATATGAGGCGCAGGGTAGGTGTAGGTCTTTGAGGGATCATAAACTAGAGGGAAGGAGGAGACACAAAGCACAAGGCATACCCAGAACAACCGACTGCACAACGGCACAGAGAAGAGAGACACTTCCTACATCAATGTGGAAAATACAAGAGAGACTGAAATAGAAATTTCCTCAGATTCACACAAATGATGGGCCAAGCTTGCTCAACCTGACGGTATTTAATTGCTGATCATTGCCAAAATTGCAGATGTTTCTAGGGATTACTGGTGAGAGCCCTACTGATTTTGGGGGGAAACTGGAAGGGGAAAAACAGGACACATGAAGCCAATGCTAGCTTTTAACACAGCCATGGCCTCAACAACTCTTCAGCTCTTTATAGATCAAACATCAGATTAATGACACCCTCTAACGAGCTCTCATTTCAGCTCTGCCTATCCGCCTAACAGAGTTTAACATGTTGAAATCCTGGATTCATTTGGCCCTCCTGAGGTGAGGAAAGAAGCAAAGACAAAACGTAGCCCGTGAGTTTAGTTTTCATTGCAGATTAAGGAAAGGACTGAGGATGAGGCCTTCTTTGAAAGGTGTGTGTGTGTGTGTGTGTGTGTAAATGCCATTAGCATGAGAGATAGATAGGCCCCTGCCAGGAGGGGAAAGTGAGAACTCTGCTGTAGGGAGAAGAGAGAATGAGAGTGTTGTGTTAATTTTGATGGAATATATGAGCCCAAAGAGTCAAAGGTGTGAATGTAACTCAATCACTGTCTAATGTTACAAAGTGTTAACAAGATTTGGGGGTTGTCAGCCAGAGACCTCAGCTTGCTTAAGACTATGGCGCAAATACCATTAAAATCATTTTAATCTTTTACTGTAGAAAGAAGGGAAACCAGTTCAAGCATTTGAAATGTGACGTTTTAAGTCAGGCCTTCATTTTAACAACACTTAGTTCCCTTCCCTTTCTCTGGAGGGAGTTCTAAGAAGGAATCCTCCGATCTGTGAGTCTCTTAGATGGTGTCATGACGGTAGGAACTTTTGGAGGATAAGACAAGAAGTTAGTGGAGACGGTCTGAAGCCGTTGTTAAAATCCAATCTAATTTCCTAGAAGACAAAACCAGACACGCCCACGCAGACAAGGGAGAGAAAAGAGACAGCAAAGATAAAAAATTCAGCTTCTGACTGCTGTGGACTTTTACTTGCAAATCTTGTGCAGGCCCTGCACACAGTTTTAATAGCCATGCCGAGACCTGGCAAACTCATAGCAGCATCAGTCTGTTCAGGGCATTGATTTAGTTGCCTTCGTGGTCGTGGACTTACAGCCATATTGCAAACCTATGGTTTAGGAGGCTACACCTCTCATTACACCCCCAGCAAAAGGAGAGCAAGAGAGGGAAGAAAAAATAAGATGCGAAAGGGAACAGCTGCACAAAGGTGGCGCAGTGACCAAGTCCCATACCCTAGATGGTCTGTGGGATTAAACTGGAGCCATTAGTGGTGGCACCAGGGTCGTGCCAGTCAGGGCACGACATCTCTCAGGAGTCACAAGGGAAGGCTCAGAGGTGTTCTGGAGGCTTAAGAGGGGCAGGCTCACTTTCCTGTTCCCTTGTCTTTCGGTCAGCCAGTGCGCACAACCATCCCTCTTCTACTGCCAACGCCTCTTTTTTAAGGATTCCAGAAGAGATCATGCCATGGAATAGCCCATCCTTCCTTATTTAGTTCACCAATTAGACCTAATTGCTGAGACTTCACTGATGTCCGGTTGCACACTTCTCTGGCTTACCAGGAATGACTCTTGAGTTACATCACGAGGCCTTTTTGTTTGGACTAATTCCTTTAATCTTTTGCCCCTTTCCCCCGTCAACAGTTGCAACTACTGGCTATTGGACATTTTATAAAACGTTATCCACTTTTCCACTATTAGTCTCACAACAAGGGAGATCTACCAGGGCCCAGTTATCATTACGGGGCATACAGATCCACTACCTGGTGGGAAGAATGAGCAGGAGGGAAAATAGGGAGGAAGACACAAAACCTCCAGGAGGGAGATTAGGGAGCCTGGACCGGAAGAAGGGGGAGCGGTGGGGTGGCATGGGAGGAAAGGAGGCGAATAGGGACACATGCAGAGCCTCTGCTATGGGAGAGAATGAGGAATCGGGGAAAGGGGACCACACAGAGCCCATGGCAAGAGGGGGAAAGGTGGAAAGAGATGGTGGCGAGAGGAAGAGGAAATGTGGGGTTTGGGGGGGGGGGAGATGGGAAAGAGCATCTACACACAGCCCCTGCCACAGGGAGAATGAGGGAATCCTGGAAATGGGGGAGCAGAAAATGAAGGGTGCACGCAACCCCTGTTGGGAGTGGAGATTAAGGGAACCCCGTATAGGGGAAGGGGGGAACACAGCATCCCTGACCGAATGAGATGGGGGGACAGTCAGGGATCCCTTGTAAAAGAGAGGGCTGGTAGGAAGAGGATTGCAGGGGTGGGGGAGCGATTCTAGCAACGCCAACTGAGTGCAGCGGGTTTGGCCTACACAAGCGACAAAGGGTGCCAAAAGCAATGAGGAACAATTGGCCATCAGCCCTGACGGAGAGCAGAGAGCATCGCACTATGTAGCAATTTGCCACCAGATCAAGACTGAAGAGCAGCTGCGCATGGGCCCAGGTGACCAAACTCTACGCGCACTGGGAAGCCCCAAGCCTGCAGCAGAGGGAAGGTTCCTGCCTTTTTCACACTGGGAGCAGCTGGACAGCCACTGGAGTGCTCTGTATTGCCCGAGTTGTGTGGAAGTGAAACAGTGGGAGAGGGCACTTGCTGTGTGCATTGCCTCTGGGGACGTGTGTGATGTGACAGTGGGCTGTATGTGTTGGATTACTAGGGGTGGGGTGTGTTCTTTGTGAAATTAACGAGGTGATGTGTGTATGTGAGTGTTCACATGCACAGCGTGAGGGAACCGGAGAGCATATCCGTGTGAGGGGGAAGTGAGGGGCTGAGGCCGTTTGTCTCTGTGGGCTGGTCTGCACTAGACAGTTAGCTCGACCTAGCTGTATTGCTCAGGGGGTGGGGAGGAGAATGTCATCTACGCTACAGTGGTGCAGATGTCCCCTGAGCGCAAGCACAAGATGAGAAGCCAGGAGGAGCCCTGTGTATGGATCATGCGATCATAGGGGGCGCTGTGCGTGAGAGAGACATGGGGACGCGGTACAAGCACAGAAATGTAGAAAGTCAATAGCGAGTCTCCCATTTACTTGCGTGTGGAGCGTGGGCTGAGGAGCTGGGTGCTCAGAAGAAGAGTTGAGCTCGAGGTCGTCGTCGTGGGCACAGGACTTTGACAGGCTAAAACACACAGAGAACACACAAGCTATTGCAGATCTCTTACAGAACAGTTAACTCTTTGATGCCCATGTGTCTCGAAACAGCTTGGCTGGGCTCCTTCCTCACAAGGTGTTCCAACAGCTCCTCCCCCATGGACACTGTTGTGTGGGGCTACCTATCTTGTTCCCTCTCCTGTTCAACCTGCCCATGGGAGGGCTAGCTAAGAGCCTTGGGGGAAGGGTGAGAGCCAGCTGGTTGGTGCTCAGTCTAGCATAGACGGAGGTGATGCTGGCAGCTGCAGGCAGTAACCAGACGATGCAGCCAGGCTGACGCTGCCTCTTTGATAGCGGATGGGTGCCCGATTGTTATTTAGGTGGATGGTCACGTTACAGCAGCATCCAGGAACATGTTTCACCATTTGTGCCTGGCCAGGAGAGTCCGTGTTTATCAGTTGTGCACCATGCGACCGAGATCCATGCTTCGGCCACCGTGAGACTGGATTACTGCAATGTGTCGGACGTGAGGTGACACCTTAAATCTATCCAGAAACTTCAACTGGTGCTGAAAGCAACCACCTGCTTGTAAATGGGACAGGGCATGTTATCTGGCTGCCTACTGGTTTCCAGGTGGCATTTAAGCTGTTGGTTTTGATGTGTAATCCCTGACTAGCTTGGGATCTGTATTCTTAAGAGAGCATCTTTCTCTCATGCCATACTGCCAGAGCTGCAATCTGCAGAGAAATCAGAGCTCAAATCTCCCTCATCAGGAAAGGGGCTGGCAGAGTTCTCTTTTCCGTAGCATGAGTCTGAAAGGGTCGGAATGACCTTCCAGGCACACTGCAAAGCCCATGTATATCAGTGAGCATCGGGGGAGCTGAAGCATTCCAAGGCAGGCTCTCTCTCTGGGAAAGTGCAGTGGGAGTTATAGCTGGACTGGCCCAATGATGCAGGAAGAAGGGCCGCTTGCTGTGGTGGATTTTTACTCTGCGTCTCCTCTAGTCGCTTGTTTTTAAATGTGTCTCACGAGCACGTAGTGCTCTGGGAGGGAGTATGGATAAGTCTGAAATCTGACTGACTGAAGCAATCACCCACAAGAGCACTGAGTCAGTGCTGTTTCACCAGGAAGACGTCAGCCTATAAAATCCCCATCTTTCCTGCGGCATTTGAATTTTCCTTGGAGTCTCTCATGCAAAGCTTCACAAGCTGAGCCAGACTGTTTAGCCAGTGAGAATATGATACGAGCACAGTACATGGCTGAAGACGTCGTATTGGCTGGTAAAACATCCTGAAGTGCTACAGAGAGACTGCCACATTTTAGCTCTTGAAGGCCTTGGGGTGAGGACCCTCATGTGCCCTCTCCCCAACAAAAGAGACGGGCTGGTTCTCATGTGCTGGTGTTACTGCCCTGCAATCTGAGCACTACTTAAATCCCAGAGATCGCTGCATTGTGACCGAAACACCAGGAAAGCTCCATTTGCCCTACTCTACCATGACACTAAAATAAAGGCTCATCTACTCTGGTGCGAGGCCAGTGTCCGGGGGTGCGCACTTTGTGTTGTGCTCTCACTGTCCCCTCTAGACCCTGCTGGAGTAAAATGAAAGGCATCTCGTGTGCACTAAGGGAGAAGATGCCAAGGCATGTGGCCCTGGTTCATATCCCTCCAGCAGGGGAACAGTTGGTTGATGCTGGTACTTGTGTTTCAGAGGAGGGTTATACCTGGGATAGAGTGTTTCCAGTTGTCCAATTCTGGCTTTTCCTACTGTCCTAACTGCATAAAAATCGGTGGCATACATTCCTCTCTGTACTTTTTCTCCTCTCCTCTCTATCCCTTCCCTGGATGGCCTGGCCTGATGCTGTAGTCCTGAATGAAGAGAGAGGTTGAGGGGGAGCATAACAGAACAGGTTCCCTAGACACACATCTCCTTCTGCTTAGATTAACACCATCCCTTCACTGCTCCCCTGCCTGCACCAACCCCTTCCCTAGGTATACACATTCAGCTGGAATTCAAGACAGTTTTACTAGTTATCGACCCTGAAATACCTGCAGGCGCTGTGGGGAAACGTATTAGGCACAAAGAAGCAAAAGCACCTCAGTCATAGAAATCAGGATTCTGCCCCGCCACGTGGAATAAGAGCACTTCGCTCTCAGACAGCAGTTTCTGCCTCCAAAGCATCACACAAACACTAGCTTATTAACTGGCCTGACACCCCTGTGAGGCAGGTGACTATTACCAACAATTTACAGGTAGGGAGACCGATGTAGAAAGGCCAAGTCCTTGTCTAAGGGCACAGAATGAATGAGCATCAGAACCAAGACCAGAATGCAGGAGTTCTTGGTCCCAGGCCTGAGCTCTGACAGGTCATGGCCGTCTCCTCAGGAGCCAGCATTCGGAGAGAACAGCCGGAAGGTATGGAGGGGTTCCAACCGCGTCAAAATGCATAATGGAAGGATAAAAGCCCTTGGTTTCACCGAAAGGTACTTAGAGAAGAAATCTCCTCTGACAGTTGATCCCTAGGGCAGGATTAAAGAATATTTTCATCATGACTTTATATTAACTTGCCAAACGGTAAAGTTCACTGCTTCCTAACCAGGTGGTTTCCTGTCGGTATATTATATGCTGTACTGCAGGGGTTTCATGAAACGGTGCCCAAGGACAGTTAAAAAGGTAGAGCGAGTGGAGTGCCAAACTCTCAGAACAGCAGAGCCCTTTTCATAGTAAGGCAGTCTGCTGCCTGCTTCGATCTGAAGGTGCTCCCACAACAGTCATGTTCTCAGACACGCCTGCCCAGCTGCCATGTACCTCACAGGCAGATGCACCCACAATCAGAGGACAAAGCTTAGCATCCTGGTTTTCAGTCATGCTGCCCAGAATTTTTCACAACCACAAGCAAAGATCCCATCAGCGATTTGAAAGCAGGCAGGGAGTTCTAGAAAAGATGTTTTCCTAGTCAGTTAGAGAACCCCTGGAGGCGTGAAGGTTAAAGCATAGCATGCTCAAACGCACACGTCACTGCCTTTGTCTCCTAAGCATTTTTTCCCCATCGGGCTACAGGAGGGGACTTTGGTGTCAATTCCATACCAATTTCATACACACCCATGGCGGGAACCCTCTGTTAGCGTTCATGGTACTCACTCTCTGCCTGCTGTTACTGCTGAAGAGTCCTCCACCTGTATCTCTGGGTTGGTGTAGCCAAGGCTTCCTGAATAAAAATGCACCTCCTGAAAAGGGCAAGAATTCACATTAACAAGACAAAATGGCCACCTGAATGAAGGACACACACATCAGCAGGCTTAAGGAGAGGGGTTGTTCCTTTAATCAAAAGTCAGAAGGAAGGCTTTCTGCACAGTCAGCCAGCAAGACTATTAGTGGAGTCTGTTGTTTAATGCGATGAAACCGGCCCACCGCCCCAATGAATAAATAAGCCTGGCCACATGATGGAGATGGTCCGGTTACAAAAGCATGGAGATTGAAAGCCAGCCACCAGAGAAGACAGACCTAGTTCAGGAGCGCCTGGGCGAAGCGCTCTCATTTAAGCATGCTGTTCCCAGCTGTTCTGAACCTTGAACACCTACTCAACCAGTTTTCTCCAGACTTGAGTTGGCTTGTAGGTTCCATGGAGATTTTAAAGACAAGCGTAATGAAAATCACTAAGCTCGAGTTAAAGTTATGATGGCAAGATTGTTAAAAGTGAATTGTGACTGTGGTTGCCTGCTGTGACGTACCGAGGCAAAATTCACATCAGACAGGGGATGCGTAACCCCGGCCCTGCAACTTGAGGTGCCTTCCATTGCCTTGCTGCAGCAGGTCCTACCCGGGCCACCCACAGCCTTCCAGCCTGCAAGTCACACCTTAAGTGTCTGTGTGAAACTTCAACTTGCCAGCCAAGCCACACTCTGGAGCACTCCAGTTTTGGTTGCTTCTGCAGAGCAACTCCACCACACTGCCAGGTCCGGATTTCCCCCAGCCATCTCCTCGGCAGTATTAATATATTAAGTCTACCACAGGAAACCCTCAACATCACAGTTTGTTATATTTGCAGTACCCTGCACTGCACCAGCCCAAGCACAAGATGTAGCGTGATGACGCTTTTTTTCAGTGCCCCACATGCTTTCAGAAGCACTCCTGGTCGAACTTCTACATCAGGATCCCCCCGCCTGAGTTCAATGGCTGCTTCTTTTGCCTCCTCAGGTGCAAAGAGGGAAGAAGATAAGAGGTGCAACGGGGTGTCTGCCTCTCCTTTTGTAAGTTTCAGGCCCCCTCTTGAAAACCATTTCCAACTGAGAACCAGGAGTAAAAAAGTCTGTGTGGAAGGATGTTCCCTGCTGGTTTTTCTCCCTTGTTTAGGCTTACATGCAGGTCTCTTTTTGATTTCTCCCTTCCCCTTTCTGCTTGAGGACTCTGTTTACTGCTTAAATGCAAATTACGGCACACACACATTCCTTTCTTTAGGTAAACCCATTTGCCAATTTCTGCATGGGTTCTGTGAGGCTTGGAACATGTGCTACTCACATCATACATGGCAATCTTATAACTTCACATACAATATGACTACATATATTTCATTAGGCCAATACTTACCAGCAAGGTCAGAGTTTCCAAATGTTCCTTACATGGCAAACGTTGTACAAAGATTATTACAATCGTGTGCAGGGTGTGAATACAAGGATGCATTCCATCACACTCATCTTGGGAAATCTTGAAGGGGCTTGCTCTTCAGAAAATTCTGAGCCTCCAACCCCTGAAAATCAGTCCCAAGCTGGGTACCCAAAATTATAGGCACTGAAAATCTTGGGTCTGAATGTTTAAAGTCCTGGTGCCATCTTAATTCATGGCTAAAGGAAAGCCAACAGTTGGAATACTTCAGAGCCGCCAAATTTTTGAAAGTGCTCTGGTCTTAATTTGATCTTTGAAAAGGAAAAATAAGGAAAGAAATTCCACTGTATGTGTTCACAACTTGAGAACGATTGAACTGGTTTTCTCAAATATGAAGACAAGTTTGAAAATAAGTGGCTGAATAGATTTAAAGAGATGGACCTTCTGAAGTCAACAGATCAATTTGGGAGTGTGCAGTTACCTAGCTCTATGTGAGCAGAATATATGTCAAGTGAGGCAATGAGGAGGCCAGCGCAAGGGACTCGTCTCACCAGGGGCGGCCCGTGACTATAGGCCAACTTGGCCGTCGCCTAGGACGCCGCCTTCAATGGCGCCCAATGATGACATCACGGGGCGCCCGATGATGTCACCCCATTGACGGCCATGCATGTGGAGATGCCGATTGCGCGTTCCTCCTGGGGCACCAACTGCCGCAGCCTGCTTCGGGCTGCTCCTGCATCTCACACCAAGGCAGACACGTGGCAGAAGAGATTTAGCTCTTTAGAGTCAGAGATATGGCTGAAAAGAGATTCAAGCAAGAGCCATTACATGAGGCAACTCCAGGGAGTGATTGGGGCGCAGTGTTCCCAAAGAAGGGATTTCTCAACATTGAGCTCAGTCCCACAGGCTGCTGTCCAAACAGTTATTGCTCGGTGACAGAGGGTGACATCTTCTCCCGTTTCAGAGAAAGGGATAAGACATGTGTCGGTCATACGGCTCTCTTACAGCTTTCTTGTCACGATGATGTGTGTGATCTTTCATCACTAGACAAAGCGTTCTATTGTCCTACAAAGAAGCTACCCATTGAGACAAAAGGAACATTGATTGTCTGTTGCATCACACATTCTTGGCAAACTGCCTCTGCCATGTCCACAGAATGCAAATGCATGAGGGACCTGCAACACAAGCCTGGCCACACCAATGAGGTTAACCAAGTACACAGCTCAGGAATTTTCAGAGCAACACTTCCCTAAAGGGGAAAAAAAAGCCTTCTAGGATCCACTTCATTCATTTCAGTCTTGTAAAAGCCATGATGGTCACGCGGAACCGAGTAAGGCATAAGGGCTGACGAGCAAACACAAAGGGATGCTGACTTGGCAGCTAGTAAATGCGATGAATACTCACTGTGTTATAACGAATACTGCACAACACAGTCATAATCTCCTCTTTGGCTCAGAGCATCATGCAATGAGACTAGGGATGGTAGTAAACATTTATTTTTGTAAACATGTAACCGCTGAATTTTTTTTTCAGTGGTTACACGTTTACATGCAGAGGTCAGACAAAAGCCAGTGCTTGCGGGAAGCCACAGGTATTAAAAGCCAGCTCCCCGCAGGCACCGGCTCCCACCTCCCTCCCCACTTGCTGCCTCTGATACAGAGGCAGCAAGGGTGTGTGTGTGTGTGTGTAGCCATGTGGGACCAATTCAAGGCTGAGGGTGGCATTCACAAAGCAGTTGCAGATGGTGGAGTGCTGCTTCTGGGCCCAAGAAATGCATTGACTGGTGGGATCGCATTGTCATGTAGGCTTGAGATGATAAGCGGCAGCTGTAGAAGTTTTGGACGCACAAGGCCACATCCCCAGATCAGTGTGTGGAGCTCTTCCCAGATAACAGAGCAGAATGAAAGCTGCCCTCACAGCAGAGAAGCAAGTTGTGTTTGCTCTGTGGACACTTGCAGTGTCAGAAGGCTATCAGTCAGTGGGAGCCGGAAAATCCACTGCAGGGGCCATTACCGTGTAAATATGCAGGGTTTGTTAATTGCCCCTGCGATGCAAGACTGTGACTCCTGGCACTGTGCAGACATAGTGGATGAATTTGAACTGATAGGACGGTGGGGCGACAGATGGCATGCGTATTCCTATCATGGCATCAGACCAGCTGGCCACAGAGTATATCAACGGAAAGGGCTACTTTCTTGTGGTTGTGTGAGCATCAGTGTATCACTGGAGATGCTTCCCCGCTATCCATGTGGGCTGGTCAGCGAAGACGCACAATGCTTGCATCTTTGAGAACGTGACTGTTTGTTGTACCCCTTCTCCTGTGTCCCTCATACAGTCTGCTCATAGATATTGATGTAGTGGTGCCTGCACAGCCTCTTCTCCCTCAAGCCCAGGAAATCCAGTATGTCCTGTCAACTCCCAGAGTGTGCAGCCATCATGGGCCAAGCAACTAACCTCTGGCACTGTGGGAAAGGTGCTTAAGAATTAGGGTTGACATAGGTGCTGCAAAGCTGCTCAAGGAGGTGGTGTCGCTACGGGGGGGTCTGCTCTCCAAAAGCTGCAATAACACAGTGGCATTGCTGTAGCGCCTGCAGTGAAGACGCCAGCCATGCTGACAGGAGGGCAGAGATACTCCACCTACTGTGGACATAGCACTATCTACACCGGGGATAACTGTGGGCGCAGGGGTGTGACTTTTTTACACCTGTTAGTGAAGTAGTGCAGTGGTCTAATGCAGACCTGGCCTAAGTCTTTGTAACAAGGTGTTTATATCGGTGGGAGTCAAATTTAAGTTAGACACATGCATAACATGGCTGACACAGGATGGTATATGTTGACTTAGCTTTACAGTGTACACCAGACCCAATAAGGTGACATTTCTCTGAAGTGCAAAAAAATCTGAATCAAAATATCCAACCACCTCAGAATCAGCTCGAACGCCTGGCTTAAAAAGGGGTTCCTCCTGGGTGAACAAAATTTCAGTGATTCTGTGCTATCATATGCATATAGATGATGGAAGTCGCATCCTCAGGATAACCTTTCCTTAGTTATTTGTGCAAGTCTGCGGGAGTCTGCTATTTCCGGGACTTTAGCAGTGGTATTCCTAGACCTTTCATAACTATGCATTACACTTTAAACAAATCTACGTAGAATTCTTCTGGGGGCATATAATGTAATACACATGCACGTGTTTATCAATTATTTATGAAAACCGTATTAGAATCTTGGTCATACAAATGTAACAAGCTTATGGCGTTTTTTCAATGAAGTACAAAAGTACATTTATTCCAGATGAATTTTCTCCCTAAAGACCTGTATTTTGGAAATAACAATTCAACGTCTTCTCCCCTTTCCTTTCAATCTAGCTCATTTCCTCACAATAATTATCTTCTTCCCCATAGATATCATGGTATTAACCTGATATTTGCCATGCTTCACACTGTTTGCATTGCTATTATTTAATATTCTGTTCCACTTGTCTGTCTCATCTATTTCAATTGTAAGCTCTTTGTAGCAGAGTATGTTTCTTCTTATGCTGTTTATATGGCACTTAACACAAACGGGGCTCAAATTTCAGTTATGGACTCTGCACACCACCAAATAAAAAACAACAACAAATGCAATGTGAAGCTAAACATTCAAAAGTCTAAAAGTGGGAGCCAGACCCTAAAATTGTAGCTCTGCCTCTTGTTCAAATGCATTAAAATACCATCTTAATTTGCATTAACATGTACTATGTTTTGTATCCCCAGATGGATTAAGGATGGAGAGAAGTCAAATAATTCATTTCTTACAAGACATCAAATTAATCCTCGTAACAGGTAATTTAGCTGTAAGGAACTAAGTAAGAAAAGCAAAGAACTGCCTTCTTGCAAAAGAAATGATGAGGAACCTCCCAATTTATAAGATAACCCAAAAGGATTTGTAAAATATGGAGATATGTTTCAGAAACAGCCTATAACACATCCTGTGCACAGGTTTTGAAAAGATCCCTGAAGCCAGGTCTACAGTAGACCTGGAAGGTTGGCTTAAGGTGCATAACTCCAGCTATGTAAAACACGTAGCTGAAGTCAGCTTATTTTAAGCTGAGCTTGGTGTCATCTTCACAGTTGAGGGCTGATGGGACCAAAGGCTCCTGTAGGCTTCCTTTACTCTTTGCAACTGTGAGGACTACCAGCGCTGACTGGAGCTGTCCTCAGCTGTTGCAATGGTAGAAAAAATGTTGTGTGTCTGAAAACTGTAGGTATTGGGGGTACCTTTTTTTTTTTTTTTTTTTTTTTTAAAGAAAGGGGTACTTTATAAAAAAAAGGTTGAGAAACACTGCTCTAAACTAGTGCAGTCCTGGAGCCTTGTAGAGCACTGTCAATGCATCTCAATTATGACCTGCTAGTCCTCCCCCAAGTACCTCAAAACTCCTGCCTTCGGCACCTGCCTAACGTGGTGAGCAGATATTCTGGATGAATCTGGGTTTCCCACTGAAACGCAGCACACCATTCCACAGCAAACAAAAGAAACTGGTGAAGGAAAGGCTGAAAGCACCCTCAGTACCTGAATGGGTCTCGCTGGTGGAGGGTATGACTCCAGCTGTTTGCTGGCCTCTTTCATCTCCTGGCGGGGACGCTGCTGCACAATGTACTCATAGGTGGTGAGTTTGTTCCACACTGAGAGGAAACAAAAAGACATTTCAGCAGGTGGGACTCTGTCTGCTTTCTCCTTAGGAGCATCATAATTACTAGGCTGCTTAGTTAAGTGTTCGTGCACACTAATCACAGTCTACGAAACAGGAACCAGTACAAATACCACAATCGTTATGAAAACGTTACTTCATTTGCACAAAGTAAGATTTGTTTAAATCCTCGTGACCCAGCCAAATCTAAACCAATTTTCTCTGTGACACTAAAAGGCAGCAATTCTCAGGGAATATTCCTTGTTTTACTTCAGCTGTTGTTAGAGCAGACACAGGTCACAAGAATAACTTTTAAATATTTGGGCAATTGTATTTCCTCACACTTTTCTATGGAGGAAGTGCCTTGTCTGGGACAGAGGATGAGTGCAGAAGAGAGCGTGGGGTAGGAGATTGGGGTGAGGGAGAGGGTGAGGGGACTGAGAGGGAGTTTGGGTGAAGGAGGGGATTGTGATCTGGGGCAGAGAACTGGGGAGCAGTTATGGAGGGGGTATGGGTGCAGGAGAGGATTCTGGCCTGAGGAGGACTGTAGGAGGGAGTGCTGGGTCTGGGAGGCAGTTGTGACCTGGGAGACAGGGGAGGTGGGTACAGAGTTTGGGTGCTAACCTGGGGTAAGAGAATAGGTTGCAGCGGGGTCAGGGGTGGGGGTGCAGGAGTAGATTCTGGCCTCAGGAAGGGGGAGCAGAGGGTTTGAGTGGTGACCTGGGAGTTGCGGGGAGAGAGGGGCTGGGATGTTAGAGGCAGGCTCTGACCAGGAGCAGCTTACCCAGGTACCTTCTGGCCAGCAGCCCTGCAGGGCCCTGAGGCAGGTGCCCTGCTTGTTGCAGTCCCAGGCTGCTCCATGTGGCTCTCTGCTCCAGGTGCTGGGGGAGGCTTTGCACACTGCCCCCCGGCCTCTGTACTGCAAGCCTCTTCCCTCCAAACCAGAACCTGCACTCCCTCATGAACCCCAACTCCCTGCCCAGCTTGGTGACAGTGAGTGAGGGTGGGTGAGAGTGAGTGACTGGGGGGCGGGGGGGAAGAGGGATGACATGAGCATCAGGGAAAGGGTAGGGTAGATCTTGAAATGCCCTTAAATTAAAAAAAGTGATCTTGGCCATGGAGACCACAGGTCTAGAGCAATGTACAAAACATTTGCTTTGCAAATCCCTGGAGGATGAAGGGGTAATCACTAGCAACCAGCATGGATTGACTAAGAGCAAATCATGCCAAACCAGCTTGATGTCCACCTTTGACAGGGTAAATGGTTTGGTGGACATAATATATCTGCAGTTTTGCTAAACCTTTGACACAGTCCCACATGACCTCTTGATAACTAAGCTGGAGAAATGCAGGCTTAGCAGAACCACCATTACATGGACACATAATTGGTTAAACCACCACAGACAAAGAGTAACTATTAATGGAATGATGTCAGAGCGGAGGGAGGTCTCAAGAGAGGTTCTAAGTCAGCCGTTGTTTAAATCTGGAAAGGACACAAAGTTGAGGGGATTACCAATACGTTGGAGGACAGAACTAAAATCCAGAAGGCTCTTGATAAGTTGTTTATAGCCTAATTCTCCAAGGTGAAATTCAACAAATGTAAGCATAGCACCTTAGGGAAGAAAAATCAAATGGACAAACATGGAATGGGGAATGACTGGCTTGGCAGCAGCACTGGTGAGAAGGATCCGGGAGCTATGGTGAATCATACCCTCGGTGTGAGACAGCGTGTGATGCTGTTGCAAAAAAAGCAAATGCAATTTTGGGTTACATTAGCAGCAGCAGAGCATGCGAGTCATGGGAGGGGACAATACCGCCCTACTCTGTGCTGGTTGGGGCTGAGCTGGAATTCTGTGATCAGTTTTAGTCACCAAGGTATAGAAAGGATGTGGAGAAAGTGGAAAGGATCCAGGGGTGAGCAACAAAGGTCAAATGGATGGAATACAAGCCAGATGAGCAAAGGCTGAGGAAACTTGGTATGCTTAGTTTGGAAAAAAAGGGGACACAAGAGCCATCTTCAAATACTTGAAAGGCTATCATAAAAAAGATGAAGAGAAGTTGTCCTCTCTTGCCACAGAGGGCAGGACAAGAAGCAATGGGTCAAACTACAGCACTGCAAATTTAGATGAAATCTCAGGAAAAATGTCCTAATTGAAGAACCGTAGGGCAAGGAAACAGACCGCCTAGGAGGGTGTGAAAGCTCCTTCATTGGAGGTTTCAGAAGGAGGCTAGAGAGCCATCTGAGCTGGATGGTTTAGACACAACAAATCCTGCATCTTGGCAGGCTGGTTAGGTGCAGTCCCCGCTAACCTTGTACGTCCATGGTGCTAATCGCAATGAAACAGCACCACCGTGTGGAAGCCGGGTATCATACAATAGCCACATAGCTATTGGGATTATACTTAGCTAAATAGATCCTAGTCATAAGGATCTTTCTCTGATGCAGCCAGTGACTGTTATTCCAGTATGGTTCGACTCCTCTTCCCTTCCGCTCTGCTCCCACTGACAACTGCAAGACAGATCTTTCGGCTCATGACAGGCAAAAGCTTGTCCGCTTCACGGTTGGCAGAGACTGATGAAAGGGTGCTCAGAGAGGCTTTCAATGCCACCGACACTTTTAAACTGAAGGCACCTCTGGGATGAGGCAGCATATGAGAGAGCCAATGAGAAGCCCCTCCACTGTGCTTCCCTCTACCTCTGTCTCCAGTCTCACTTTGGGCAAACACTGTGCCATTTGCACAGTGATCATCAGGGACTACACCCAAGAAGTAGAGCTTCCTAATGGGAAAAAAGGCTGAAAGTTAGCAAGAGAGTCAGTTACTGTTATGTGAATAAAAGCCCTGTGTTGTTACAGGAACCAACAGCCTCCAAACTGTTAACTGTTTAGTTAGAGAGCATAGTGCCTCCTTCCAGCCTTAAATTCAAGAAGCCATCCCTTGAAGTAAGGACTCAGGGGCTGCTGCCCAGTCTGAAACCCTCTTTGTGAGGTGGTTCTGGAGAAGACTATTGAAATGGCTGCAGCAGGGTAACTCGGAGCTCAGCTGAACTCAAAGCTGGGTAGAGCACTGAGAGAATTAGTATCCTTGGCTGGTGATCTCCATGGGAAAAACAAGGGTCTGTGCTCTTTTTGTTAGATCTATCAGTTGCCTCTGAGACTATTAATCACAAGTCCTGCTCACCCACCTGGGGGAACCTGGCAGCGGTGGGAGTTTATTCATTAGTGGCTTCAATCCCTCCTTTCAGAGAGGTACCGTAGGTAGTTCTCCATCCACCCAAAGAAAGATGGAGCAATGATGGTTCCTAGAGAGAATTTAGGCACAGCTGAGCCTTAGAATCCCTTAGCCAATGGCTCTGAGCTACACAGAGTTGTTCTACCACAGAAGAACTCCAGGACTAATCTGGATCTCCAAGATATCATGAATATTCATGTACAGACCTGCAAGCCGGAGGGACCAATAGGTGCTGTGCTGTGCTCTCTCATTACAACCAGAGCTTTTTCTCCCTGCTAGATTCTGAACTGCACCAAAAGAATCACACTTACAGTAGAGAAAAACTGCGAAAAAAGGAGTAAGAGGCGAGGATTTTTTCTATTCATCCTGCAGAAGGCAGGGCTAAAGCACAAGCTTAGGAAGAGGCAGGAAAGCCACAGTATGACCAAAACCTCTGCTCTTTCCTTGATGTTCTTGCACAATTTGCGTGTGAGGTGCGGGTGAAAGGCCAATGGGTGCAAGGCATGAAGTGAAGAGAGAAGTGAGGGGCCCGTGCAGTGCGGCAGGAATTCGATACCTACTAAGATAGATGTGAAAGATCAGCAGGTGGCCTAACAGGATCACAGTCAGCAGGCCCAGAAGAATGAGCATCCCAGCTAAGATCAAAATGGCTGGAGCTTGGGTCTCGATGGGAGCTGCCGGTAGAAACACAAACCAGATGTCCGTGTGGTTCTTTACAACTGAAAAAGAGAAACACAACACATGAAATGAAAGCACAGAAACAGCACACGGTAGGGAGGTAGAGTTAACAAGTCTCAGTGGTGGGGACAGGTGTGGGGCGGAGAAGCGGTCAGCCCAGAAAGTAAGGAGTTAATTGGTGGAGACAGAAAGTGACTAGGCCAGAGAACGAAGATGGGCAGTAAAAGATAAAGGAATGAAAACAAAGGAACGGGAGGGAAACAGTGTCAGACATTAAAGAAAAGCTAACAAAAGCTGCTGTCCCAAAGACCCAGAATGTCTCTGGACCTTGCAGGCTGACTAAGAACCCCCTTGGAGGGCAAAATCATTGGGTGGTGGAGGGAACTACTGGGTCATAGAGATGGTTGTAGTCACATAATAGTTTGAAGCAGGATAGAGAGCTGGAGATTGCTCTTGCATGTGAGGGACCAGAGGAGTCGGAACTCAGTGAACAGCTGAAGCCCAAGCATTATAGCTGATGCGTGGATGGGACGCATCATCCATCCAGAGTGTGGCCAGATACCTTCAAAGTGCTGGTTGGTGCGCAACATCATGGGGTTAGTGAAGAACTCCACAAAGACATAGAATGCAATGAGCAGCAGGAGGAGAAGGCCGAGGATGGCAGACACCACGCTGTTCAGAAAGAGCCTGCCAAGGAAGCATAATGGGCCTCAGCATCCTCAGAGCAAAATGCAAAACTCCTTCAGTAAAACCTCATGCAGGCCAACTTATAAAGCCCAAGCTCTACTGACCGGAGGGAAAAGACAGAGACCGGGAACTGCTTTGCGTATATGCCAGAAGTTGAGTGGTGCTCCGATACCGTTAGGGATGGTGCTAGATAAGCAGAGCCCTACCAGTTTCATGACTGAAAAACATGTCCCGGACATCAAATTCACCCTTCCCTGTGAAATCTGATTCCTCCCTTGCTGCTGAGAGTACGCTAGTCAGGGGGCAGAACCACTGCCAAGTGCCTCCCACTGCTACAGGAACCTCCAGTCCGGGGCAGCAGCCTCAGAGGTTCCTGCAGCTTGTGGAGTTGGGTCCAATGTTCCCCTGCTCCTGGGGGAATCCTTGCCAAGTTAGGGAGGGACAGGACTTGCCTTTCCCCTGCAAGGCTGCTGGGGGATGGGGAGGGGGAGATCAGACCACCTCCTGGGTTGGGACACACGAGTTACAACACCCTGATAATTCAGGTGTAAACATCTGAAAATGTAAACCTGACCCCACTCACACCCATGAAATTGATCAAAATGGCCTGTGAATTTGGTAGGGCTCTAAACTTGCCCCTACTCTCCTTATGGTCCCAGAAGCCATTCTGAGCAGCTGCTCTCCTCTCCCTGGGCACCAGGCTACTAGTCCCTATCTACTGCTTCACGAGGTCAGAGACTAGCTTTGGCTGTTCCATTTCCTGCACTGAGCACAGGATGGTCACCCTCCCTCACATATCCACCACCTGCAACCCAGAAGTGAGGAAAAGGAGAAGCTCAGAAACAATCCCCAGTTACAGCTTCCTGATTCTCTGCCTCAGCCCCAGCACAGCCTCTGCACTGGCCTACCTCATACTAGCTCTCAGCTGTGCCATAAAGCAGTGGTTCCCAATCTTTTTGATACTGGGGACCAGTAAATCCATTCACAAACTTTTGGAGGACTGGTAACATTTATTTGAATTTTTGCATATTCATTTAGCAAATGATGAATATGCAAATGAATTGTGTCACTGGCCCTACTTGTTCAGCGGGTTGTTCCGCCCCCTCTCCTGGCCCCAATCCTGGCCGCTTTATCAGCCAGCACTGGCTCCCCTGGCTGCGTCTGGTGCTGGGTGTTCTGCGTCGATGCGCACGGCACCCGGCCTTCTCCCTGGGTCCTAGCGCCTGCTGGAGCTAGCACTGCCGCCCGGGAGCATGCCCAGCAGAGATGCCGTGGCAGCAGGCTCTCTCTCAAGAGGGCTGTGCCGCTGCACGCGGCAGTGCGGGATGCTGCTACGTCGTCACACAAATTAATAGGATCGTGCACAGTAATTTTTCTCAGGACCAGTATTTTTTTTCCTAAGGACCAGTACTAGGCTGCAGACCACACTTTGGGAAATGCTGCCATAAAGAAAGTCTATATGCTGAGACCAACCAGAGCTCAACGTGCATCAGTTACTGCCCCTCCTGCCAACTGCACCAGGAACTGTTGGGAGACCGGAAGGAGCTATCTTGGCCAGCTGTATGCCCACAGAGATCTCAGCAGGAGAGCTGTGGGTAGTTTGCACTCTCTTTACTCTATTTATGCACAAAGGGAGCTGAATGGGATAGACAATCTGCCCCACAACGCTAAAGGTCTTTTAGTCCTTTTGAAATGATACATTCAGTTCTGTGGCTGGAAAACACAGATACCAGTTCCCTAGACAGATTACTGAAAGAAGTCCCATTGCTTTTCCTTCGGCCTCCCCAACACGCTCCTACTCTGGCTGCTCCGCGAGTCCCTGGCCTTCAGTGAACTCACAGCAGACAACCACCACGTGTTTTTTCTGCTTTCCCTGCTGCTGCCCCTTGCAGAGCATCACAGATTGGCACGAGTGCCTGGGGACAAGCGTGAGAAAGCAGAATGCTTTAAACTCCTGACCAAGCTCGGCATTTCTGCCCAAGCCTACTTGAATAATTCCCTCCCGTCCTTTGGGAAGGGTCACAAAACATTTTCTGATCTAAAACAGGGCAAATATTCCTACGTAACTGTCACTGCCCCATCTTAAAGCAGAACAGAGGTGTTAGAATAACCACCAGATCAACCCCTGAAACAAGCCTCAGAACTTTTAGGGATACCTGTACGATTCCAATAAATATTTCCTAACACTACAGACAAAAGCAATTATGAACATTTGATTTTGATTTGAAAGATGCATCATGTCTAGGGTAAAGTACCCTCGACATACATTTAAAATTACAAGAGCATCACACATACAATCCACAAATCATCCAAAACACCAGGCTTTTCCCCCTATCACACATCATCCGATCACCAATCTCGTGGCCCTATCACATCAGAGGGAGATTTTTAAAGACACAAGGAGCATATAGGTAGCCATTGCCGACTAAAAGTAAGTGAGAGTTGGGTACCTCCCTTATGCCTTAGAAAATCTCCATCACGCTTTTCTGCCAGGCACATCCCATCTGCCTCAGTCCTGGCACCAGTGTTCATTCAACCAGGTGGTCTTTGCAGCACACCTGGCTATTCTGGGCCTTGGGGAAAGGGTGAGACCAGGCCAGCAGCTCCTTCCCTCTAACGAAGAGGTGATCGTGCCTAAGGACCTCTGCTGATCACAGCTGGGGCACTATTGCATCAGGATCAGTTGCTTACAAGAGGTTTAAGCACGGAGCAGAGGTTTGGAGCAGATGTACTAATGACACCCTTGAGTCCAAGTCTAGAGCAGGAGCATCGTGACCGACTCCCCTTGTCTGGGTGCCACAAGCAGTAATCTATCCTAACCTAAGATGGCTTCAATTCTTCTGGCTCTCCTCTTGCACTGAGAATGAGTTCCCAGAAGCTTGCAATCTCAGTCTAGGGTAGGTTTGGGAAGCTGAGTATCAATTGGGCCAAGCTGTGAGGAAGGCTGAGAAATCCTGTACTAGCACTTCCTGGATGGCTTTGCCCTGCCGTCAGAGTGCTGGACCCTTACCAATAGTTCCTCTCCCCCACGCAGTTATTGAGCCATTTGCAGTGATGGTCAAAGCCACAAACACACTTGTTGCAGGTTCCACAGTGTTTCGACTTGGAGCTTCTGCCAAAGAAAAGGTCACGTTAACGCAGATAAAACCAGAACAACAACAGCAACTCATCATCATCTGGCTACAGGCCTTTCCTGTGAAACGCATATTCAGGGGAGGGCTGGGCCGCAATGAGAAAACTAGCTTAGATAAATGCCCTTTGTTCTCTCTTCTCTCACTGAATCAATGAGCCTTTAAAACAAAGCCCCCTATTAGAGCTGCTTAGAGCCCTCTGGACGCGTTCTAGTCACCTTCTCAATTCCTGTTACTTGCAATCTGCTCTCAGGCGCAGGCCCTTCACTTACTCTGCCCTACACTGCCCCATGGGCTCACTGCAGCTACATCTTTGAGTTGGATCCTTCTGGCTTGTATCCTTCTCCCTGCATTAGCATTGCTCCTGGGCTGAGCACATGAAACAATGCAATTACCCCTTCTTGCTTCATTCTTCGTCCTAACATGCCAATCTTTTCTTTCGCCACCTGCCATCGGCCAAAGCTCTGCCCACAAATACAGTGACAGAGACAATGAGATGACCTAGCAAACACTTTTCCGGAACTACTCCCTTGATAACCCATGCGCACTGGTCACAACATTTACAAAAGCAAAGCCCCATCGTATTTTCCTCCTTTAAATCCCTCCATGAGATTCAATCCTACTTAGTGTAGCCAGTTGATAGCACGTAACGAGCTACACTGTGCACATTAGTCTACACGAAAAAGCATTCCTACTGTTGTTACATGACTCCTTTCATCTATCCCTACCTGCTTGTTTGTTTTCTCCACCCATTAATAAAGACGCCAAGCTGTGTAAGGCAGGGAACTCTTTACTGCCTGTGGATATCTAGCACAATGGGGCCCTGATTCCTTGGGGACCTCTAGACACACTATAGAAATGATAAGAATCATTATCTCCAAGACACAATCCCCTTTACAAATATGGTAAATCTCCCTCCATAGCCCAGTGAAGTGGGAAAGACTTCAGCCCACATCAATGGGAACTGCATAAACCCTGTAATTCCACAGGGCTGGCCTCTCTCAGGCCATAATGCTAGATATTCCCAAATCTGCTGTTTCTGAGGCCTTTTCCCCAAGATTAGATCTTTCTAACCTGGGAATGACAATTAAAATGCTTTCAGTCTGTGATCCTCATTACAAATTCTGCTACCACATGTTAAGCTTAATGTCTCCCAAACGAAATATATCCAGCTTCAAACTGGTATCTGCCCAGAATCCAAAATACAAATAAATTCATTGAATCACAGATTCCAAGGCCAGAAGGGACCACATGTAATTTGACCTCCTGCATAACAGGCCAGGGAAATACACGCTGCTGTCTGGGATTCAAATAACACAGAATGAAACCTAATGCAATCCCTCCCCCAAAGTAGGAGCTTAATTAAAAATAGAGACACAGATACACACACAGTGAGGAGCTCAGAAGTCTTTAAGGCCATGAATTTGAGAGGAGCACATTATGCTCGGTTTACTATCCCAAAGTCATCACCCACAAGTAGTGCTTTTATTGTTTTTTTTTTTTTAAAAAGGTGCCGGTACTCCAGGAGAAAAGTTGTTGAGCTCTGACTGGAGGTGCTGGTACTGTGTCTGGATGTGCTAGTACTAAGTACTGGGCAGTACCGTCACAGAAAAAGCACTGCAAAGGATTTAGGGTTCCCCTCCCATCCCATCCTAAGAGTGATGGAGAAGAAAGAAGAAAAGAAAGGGAGGGCCGTGGGTGGTACTTACACATCCACATCACAGACATGGCAGTGGCGGTTTTCAATGACATGAGCATGTTGGTTGCGGCTGAAAGTGGCCAGCTGCCCTAGGTATTTATTCTTTCGCACGTTGGCATCAGCTGGATCAATGGAGACTGCAGAGAAATGAACCACTAGGTGGCAGACAAAAAACACTCCTGGACACTGACGAACGTAGCTAAGGACTAGCTGAGATGAACATTCAGCTTATCATCAATTAAGTAAATACACACAAGCAAGCCATTTATGATCTGCAAGTAGAAAGATTCATGTAGCTGATCACAGTATCACTCAAAAATCTGCTCCCCATTAAGACAGAGAATTGCCCATCTTACTCCCAGTTAGCCTTTCCCCAGGCAAACTGAGGTAGGTCTGAAGGAACAGCGCTTCTGCGAACGTGGGAGGGAGTCCAATGATACAGTTTCCTTTCTGTGACAGAGATTTCAAACCACTTAACTTTACTTGCCACTGTCTGTCCTTCTTTGGGTGGACTGTGCACAGCAGCCCCTCTCTGGAGTCTAGGCGTTCCTTCGACAACTATCCCAACCATTCAGAAAAGGGATGACCAATGGTCACATGCGTATTCTCTCACAGAACCCAACTTTCAGAATGAAGTTCAATAACACAGTCATGACTCTGATGCCACCAGGTTCTTTTCCTTATTCAGAATTACAGGTTGGACCGCTACAGTCCAGACTTTTTAACCCGGCAACACCTGTGGCCTGGCATCCCCATGGGTGCTCCCGGCCCAGGCTGAGCACTCATGGGGAAAAGCTGGGCCTGCATTCAGCAACTCCTCACCACCCTCCCAGAGCTCTGCAAATAGCTCATTTGCAGGGCTCAG